TGTTCCATTGGTCTATGTATCTGTTGTTGTACCAATACCAAGCTGTTTTGACTACTGTGGTGATATAATAGGTTCTAAAATCAGGTAGTGTGAGGCCTCCCACTTTGTTCTTCTTCTTCAGTAGTGCTTTACTTTTCTGGGGCCTCTTCCCTTTCCATATGAAGTTGGTGATTTGTTTCTCCATCTCATTAAAAAATGTCATTGGAAATGATCCAGCAATCCCACTTCTAGGAATATATCCTAGAGAAATAAGAGCTGTCACATGAATAGACATATGTATACCCATATTCACTGCAGTAATGTTCACAATAGCAAAAAGATGGAAACAACCTAGATGCTCATCAACAGATGAACGGATAAACAAACTATGGTACATATACACAATGGAGTATTATGCAACAATAAAGAACAATGATGAATCTGTGAAGCATCTCATAACATGGATGAAACTGAGGACATTATGCTGAGGGAAATAAGTCAATCACAAAAGGACAAATACTGTATGAGACCTCTAGTGTAAAAACTCATGTCAAAGTTTACACACAAAAAGAAACAATCTTTGTTGGTTACGAGAGATTGCAGGGGGGTACTAAATAGACAAGAGATAAGTGTTAACTTTGTTGAAGAGCAAGACAGTACACAATACTGGGGAAGCCAGCACAACTTGTACAAAGAAAGGCCATGGAAGCTCCATAGACACATCCAAACTCCCTGAGGGATCGAACTGCTGCGCGGAGGGCTGTGGGGGCCACGGTCTCAGGGAACATCTAGCTCAACTGGTATAACACAGTTTATAAAGACAATGTTCTACATTCTACCTTGGTGAGTAGTATCTGGGGTCTTAAAGGCCTGTGCGCAACCATCTAAGATACTCCACTGGTGTCACCCCTTCGGGAGCAAGGGAGAATGAAGAGAACAGAATACAAGGAAAAGATTAGTCCAAAGGACTAATGGACCACAGCTACCACGGCCTCCAAGAGATTGAGTCCAGTACAGCTAGATGGTGCCTGGCTACCACCACTGACTGCTCTGACCGGGATCACAAAAATCAGAGGGTCCTGGGCAGAGCTGGAGAAGGATGCAGAACAAAATTCTAACTCACAAAAAAAGACCAGATTTACTGGCCTGACAGACTGGAGAAACCCTGACAGTATGGTCCCTGGACACCCTTTTAGCTCAGTGGTAAAGTCACTCCCGAGGTTCACCATTCAGCCAGTGATTAGATAGCCCATAAAACAAAATGGGACTAATGAGGCACAGCAGTCCAGGGACAAAG